TCCAGGGGTGCATGCATTTAAAGCTTCCTGTGGGTAAGATAGCATTCAAAAATGCTTGGTAAAGCATCAAGTGGTGAACAAAGGCCAGTCTTATTCCCCTGATCCTCTTAGGTCTCATCCTTCCAGAGTCTTTCCACCTTGAGATAGTGCTCTTAAGACCCTGGATGACCTCACTCGGTTGTTTTTCACAGGCCGGCATTGTGTGGGTTAACACTTTGTAAGTGCTCAGCTATTTATGTTGACGTCACGAATATGAAGCCGCAGGGTTTTTTTTTTTTCTTTTCTAAAATCTGTGTGCAGCCTTTTCCTCCTGCCCCACCCACTTCCTCCCTGAGTCAATGTTCACGAACCCTCTTCTCACAGACACTTCTGTCTTGATCGCCCACGAAACAGTTTTCTTATTCGTTAAGAAACAAAAAGTGTATTGCCAACAAACACTTCTGCATGAAGACTATTTCTCATAATGGAAACAGGACCTCTATTAAAGGTGATCGATCTATCATTTTCCAAACTGATCTACTCTGTCTTTAAAAAAGCATGAGACAGTTTGTGAAAGGAAAAAAAAAAAATAAATAACACAACTCTGTTGTCCTCCAGGAAGTCAACTTGAAAAGTTTAGGGATGAACATCAACATCCCGTGTTTTCTGTAAGCAATCACTTATGGATGAGGAATTTAGGCAGCTGCTCTCAAACAGGTACTTATCTTCGGCCTGAACTCATGGATTCATTTCTTGACCAGTTCTTTTTGGGAGGTCTGATGCTCTAGGCCCTGAGCTAGGTCCCAGGGATCCAGAGATACCCAAGATAAAGAAGATCCATAACTCTGAGGAGCTCAGGTATAAATGTCCTAAGATATTACATGCAGGGTAAATAGTACATATGCTCCTGCTATTGTGGCAACCCACTTCAGTATTCTTGCCCGGAAAATTCCATGGACAGAGGAACCTGGTGAGCTACAATCCATGGGTCACAAAGAGTCAGACATGACTGATTTAGCAGGCATGCAGTGAACATCTGAAATATCTGTGGGAGGGGGGGTGGGGAAGGAACAGGAAGCACTAAAATAGTATTTTTAGGAGTAAGATTTGCATAGAGCACAGCATTCTTGGGTCCTCTTTCCCGTATTATAGTGCAGAGGCCCTTGGAGTTTGAGTTCTGAAAGGAGCAGAGCCTGGGGAAAAAAAACAACCAAATAATACAAAAAAAACCCTGGACAAGAAAGAGGTCTGATGAAGAGCTGAAAAAAAGATTAACTAGCTAAGAGTTCTGCCTAGTGCTGTTCAGTTTAGTGAAGCTATTTGGTCGCTCTTACTTATTCAATACCATGGACCGGCATCTTTTGAATTTTGGGTACATGATATCATTCTTTCTCTTTTCTTTTTTCTTTCTTTTTTAAAAATTAGTTTCTCCCCCTTTTTTTCTTTAGTTGTATATCATTCTTTATATATATATATATTTATTTGGCTGAATCAGGTCTTAGTTGCAGCATGAAAGATATTTGTTGCATCATGTGGGATATTTCACTGTGACACACAAGTTTCTCTAGTTGTGGCTGAGCATAAACACTGCATCTCAGCCCTGTGGCAACCTGTCCTTCTAAAATATATCCTGTTTGAGAGGACTTACACGAATCAGAAGTTTGGATTTTATTTTCCAGATGAGTATAGTGTGAGCTGTTCTCAAAGGGGAAAAAAAAAGGGTAAAGACATTTATGTGTGTGTATATATATATATATATATGTATGTATGTATATGGATGCATGCTAAGTAGCTTCAGTCATGTCCAACTCTTGTTACCCTATGGACTGTAGCCCACCAGGCTCCTCTGTCCATGGGATGAGGCAAGAATACTGGAGTGGGTTGCCATTTGCCATGCCCTCTCCAGGGAATCTTTCAGACCCAGAGATTGTCTCCTGTGTCTCTTGCATTGCAGGCAGATTCTTTACTGCTGAGCCACTGGGGAATATATTATATAATATATATAATATTTATCTAAGAGAATTTCATGCCATCAAACTGATCTTGGCCAAACAAGCTATACTGTCAAGTTTTAAAAAATCTGGTTTCCTGGGCTACCCTAGTGGTCCAGTGGTTAGGAATCTGGACACGGGTTTGATCCCTGGTTTGAGAACTAAGATCCCACATGCTGCTGGGCAACTAAGTCGGTGCGTCACAAATACTGAGCCTGTGTCTAGAACCCGCGTCAAAACAAGAGAAGCCATAGCAATGAGAAGTCCAAGCAACACAACTAGAGAAAGGCTGCATGCAGCAGTGAAGACCCAGCACAGCCCAAAATACAAAGAACTAGTTGCTTAAAGTGCTTTACAAAAAGATCTGGTTTCCTATAGAAAACTATACATGGCCTTCATCAAGATTACAAAAATAATAGCCCTATATGTTATGAAGTGTTCTAAGTACTTAATATGTATATTTGTATATCATTGAACTTTCACAATAAGCACATGAAGTACACTTTATAGGTGAAGAAAAGATCAAACAAGTTAAGCAAATTGTTTTCAAATCTAGGTGGGGCTTCAGTGCCCTCACTCTTAACCTCCATGATTCTCATTATCCATTCTGATACAGAATAGCCAAAAGAAGTCACTGACAACATTTTTGTTGTTTATTCAGAATCTTTCATTCTCAAATTTTAGGATCTATCAACATTACCCGTGATGTTTACATGCAGAGTTCCAGGCCTCAGCATTGACCTAGAAAATCAGCATCTCTGGAAAAGGAATGCTATTTTAACCAGCGTTGTGGATGATTCTAAGGCAGGTGGCCTGTAAACACGTTGTGACAAGTATACCTGTGCCAGTTTGTGTTTCTCAAAGTTGGCCACAACCATATTTTCTATCATATGTATACTCTGCTAGTTTCTAGAATTTTGCCACTCTTCTTTCAAGAGAGGGGGGCCATGTCCCCTAGTTTTCAAACTGGGAGGGTTTTTATGACCATGAGAAGTCAACCAATAGATTATGGCGGGAGTGATGCTACCTCATTTCCAAGGCTAGGTCAAAAAAAAAGGTGATTCAGCTTCCACTTTTGCCTGTTAGAACACTCATTCTTGGAACCTAGCCACCAGGCGGTGAGGAAGCCGAGGTTGTTCCAGGGAGAGGCCCACTTGGAGCAGGACTAACAGCTAGTACCAACTTGCCTGCCATGTGAGCCACCCTGGAAGTGCTTCTGGTTCAGTCAAGCTACCCGAGCTGACACAGCATGTAGAGAGATGTGCCTTCCCTGCCAAGCCCTGCCCGAATTGCAGATTCAAGAACTAAATAAATGATTATTGTCCTTTTTGGCACTAAATTGAAGCTGAATTTTTATGCACTAGATAACTGGACTAGAACCCTTCTAATCCCATGTTCACTCTGCCTTTCTTCCTATCAAGGTGGGTTCCTGGACCTCTCTAAAATATTCTGCCAGTATCTCTGTCCAATGTCATTTACTTTCCCAAATTCTTCTAATGACAGAACTACTCGTTTTAGAGTTTTAGCTATTCAAAGTTCTCATTATTGCCTCTGAGGCTTGATTTCTCATCTAAAAAACAACAGTAACAAGACAGCCTACCTTATACACTTTATCATTAAATGAGATAGTCCATGTAATCATTTAGTATCACGCTAATGATATTTTCTCTTATTATTCTTACTAGGTTTCTTGCATTCATATTTTCTATTTGTTAATGCACTAATTTTTTTCTTATAGTTCAATGCAATTCACAGGCTTTCTAGGCCTGGCATGCTCCCCTGACCAAGTCAGTTACATACTTCTTCATCCTTCAGGATGCCACTTCTCCTTTGAGGAGCTTTCTCTGACTTCTCAAGCAATCAATGCCTCTCTGTGTTCAAATAACACCTTGAAGGAAACTCTACTACAGCCCTTAACCCACTGAATTGTAATTGTTGACTTGTCTCTATTCTCCACTGTACTCTTTAAGTTCTTGGAAGGCAGGGTCAGCCTTTTTGTATCCTCATCCACTAACATAGCACCGGGCCCTTTTTTAGTCACCGTCTACTGTCTGTGCTACTGGGCTAGGAAACTCCGTAGCTAAGTAGTTAAGGGGTCCATGTTTTGGCAGATCTGCCTCGGAACAAAACTTCCCACACAACCTTGTGAAAAGTGAATGTCTCTGAGCCTCATCTGTAAAGTGGAGGAAGCACCTTAAGGTTTGCTTTGACGAGAAAGTAAAATAACACCGCAAAAAGCCCACCACAGAGCAAGCAATCAATCATCAGGGTGTTACGAAATGGTTCCCCAACAATCCAATTTTCGGGTACCCTCACTCTAATCCTCCTTTAGCACGCTGGCACTCTAAGGGTAATCCTTCTTTTAGGAATTACTCTCTAATCCTCTCCTAGGTCATTCCTCCAGCGATCCAGTCGGCAAGTCAATCGCTAGGGCCAGGCATTCAGAAACCATTCTTCTTCCCGTCCCCAACTCTCTCCAAATTCTTTGCTTTTAGCTTTCCTAGGACTAAGCGGTGTATCGAAAAGGCTCGACTTATGCGAAATTTAAGCACCAAAAGTCTGGCTAGAGTTTTATTGGAAAACTTTCGAGACCCATACTTGGGCGTTTCGGTGTTTAGCTTCCCCTTGAGGAAGGAGCCCGCGATCAATTTGATCTGTCTTTTGCCCACCGCCAGCCCAGACCGCGCGCAATGCAATAACGTTGAATGAGCTAACGAACCGATGAATGGGCTACGTCGACTGCCAGGCCTCTGTTACGTCGCCCATTGGCGCGGGCGTGGCCGCGGATAAGAGGCCTGCGGGGCGCGGAGCACTCAATCCCACCTGCGCGCGGTAGGCTCGGCCAAGAGCGCCGGAGCCCCGCGCCTCCCCGCGCCGCCTCCCCCAAGTCCCTGCCCCGCCGCGCGCGTCACTTCCGCCACCTCCAAGCCGGGGCTGGGGCGGGGAACGCGGGGGAGGGGGTCAAGTCCGAGGGAAGCCGGCTCGCGCCCGAGCAGGAACTACATTTCCCGAGGGGCCTTGGCGGCGGCGGCGGCGGCGGCGGGCGCGGCAACGTCCCCCGGAAGTGGAGCCTGGGACTTCCACTCGTGCGTGAGGAGAGCGGAGCCGGAGACGAGACCAGAGGCCGAACTCGGGATCTGACAAGATGGCCGGGCTGCCCCGCAGGATTATCAAGGTAACCGTCTGGGCCTTCCGGCTCTGCTCTTGCCCTGTCAGCGGACCGGGCGGCGCGGCCCCTCGCTTTCTCCGGTCCGCGGCCCGCGGTAGGAGGCCCGAGGCAGCGCGGAGAGGCTTTGGACTCGGCGGCGAGGGAAGTCGGGTGCTGGGGAGGGGGCGCCGGGGAGACTTCCGGCCGCAGTGGGGCAGCCGGGTGGCGGGGATCCGGGGCCCCCAGGAGGCCGCCCCGCGAGCGGGGAAGGCCTGGCCCGCGCCTGGGCGGAGGGTGGGGCTGCGGTGTTGCGGGGCTCTGGCTTTGGGAGCGGGCCTCCGCGGCCTCTCAGACCACCCCAGAGCAGAGGCCGCGGGCGCGCGGGAATCGCGGCGGGGCCCGGACTCCGGGCAGGGGTTGTGGCCCAAAGCGGTCACTCGGCCTCGGAACCCCGTCTCGGCCGGGGCGGGAGTGCAGGGGTGCGGTAGCCGCAGGTTCAGAATGAATGAACCGGGAGGGTGAGGCCGGGCGGGGCCCTATGCCTCAGGAGGCGGCTCCGGGAGGGCCGCGCGTCCTGCAGCGGCCGGCACATGCTCGCCCCTTGCTGCTGGGGTCCGGGGACGTGGGGGCTCCGCGCCCGGCCGCCGTCGCTTCCGTGATCTCCTCTGCTTTAAATGCGTTTCCGTTTGTTATCTCAGCGAAGTGATTTTACTCTGCTTGGCAAACTCTTCTAGAGCTGTTTCTGTTTGGAGGAAATAGTTTTAACGCGAGACCGGGCGGGAATTGGGGGAGAGAGGTATGGGGGACCTTGTGAAATATTTTGCCTCTGGATCTCCTGCACTTTATTAAAATCGTTTTTTTTTTTTTTTGTTTCTTATAAATATATACTTTGAGAAGTACGAATGAAACCATAGAAAATTCATCTTGGTTTTGTAAGTTCTTTACAGAAACATCAAATGATCAGATGTAAAATGTTCCTTGAAATCCACGAAGACAAAACCTTGAGAGTATTTGGTCATTTTTAATGAAGGAAATTAGTTGAACCTCTGTGTTGCTCACTATGCGAGTTCAAGTGCCTAAATTGCAAAAACATTTGCTTGCTATAACCTGGTGAACGTGTATTTAACTTAACTTGTTAAAGTTTGGGGAAGATGCAAGCTAAGTGCGGTGATAGACCTGTTGAAGGATGATGTATTGTGTGTAGTGTTCCTGCAGTTGCAGTGAAATATATCTCAGATGGGGTGTCTCTGACCTAAAGGTTCTTGATTTAGAGAAATGCGACATGTTTTGTAAGGTAGAAAGTCTTACTAGAAAGTACAGAAGTAGAAGAAATTGTCATTGTGCTCTGGAATCTGAATGATATGACCCTTCGTAGTGTTGCATAAAACAAACCTTCATTCGTTGTATTAAAGATTTGTCTTCGACTCTGTCAAGGCAGTTTAATGGCTGTGTGCTTTGGAGGGTACTTACGATGTGGTTTTAGTTGTAATAGAATCTCATGGCCGCAATAGTCATGTTTATTGAGGCCCCAGTTGAATATGAGGGATGGAGGATAGGTTTATACACCAGATATCCTTGGATTTTTATTTACTGTTATTCAGATTATCGACTAAGTACACAGTACACGTTGACATTCAAGATAACTCTCAAAAATACGTAGTGAACTAAAGACTTTATGTATATTTTTCCATTTTTGCTTAAGTTCTGGATATATTCTGCAATAACATGAAAGCCTTGGATGGGAAAAATAAATTCTGTGGGACTTTGTACATGAACTTAAAGATAGGACTTCAAGCAATAAGTTGAAGTCTTGGTGGTAACATCTCTCTAGTGAAAGTTTCCTTGGTTGGGATTTTATCTTGTAAGAGGTGGTTTTACTTTAATGCTATTTATAGCAAAAGGAACTGTTCCTTCCAGTTTCTAGGGTGGATTGAAAGAGTATACAATTTTTTTTCCCCCTATTGCCTATGCTTATATAATGTAGGCTTTTCCATAATTGGTGAACACGTTTATTTTTTATATCAGAATTAAGAAGTTTGCTTCTTTTCTGTCAACTACAGTACCAGGTTCTATATGGAATATAGTGGTGGTGGCAGTGGGGCAGCACTGCTGTCCTGAGTGATGGGAACACAGTGTCTCTCACTGGCCAGTGTGATGCTTTCTGCCTCAAAAAGGGCATTATTTACATTTGCAAAAGACTTCAACCACTTGGTACCTGCAGAAATCTTGTGAAGTGAACGATACCGTTTTATGGCCTAGAACCCCATTCAAAGGACTTTTCCTAGGGCTTCTCAAAGCTGGCAGAGGAGGCAGAACTTGGATCTTGACCCAGTGGGACCTTCCCCTGCCTCTTGTTATTGTGAAATGACATAATACATGTAAAAGTACCTTAACAACTATAACTATACACATAAAGATGACTTTTTAAATTACTCTTCACCCAGTTGCTCTTGCAGTCAAATCCCCATTTCTAATCCAGCAGCAAATTCCATAGGCTCTATTTTTCAAATCTCAGACAGTAAAGAGTCTATCTGCAATGTGGGAGACCTAGATTTGATCCCTGGGTTGGGAAGATCTGCTGGAGAAGGAAATGGCAACCCACTCCAGTATTCTTGCCTGGAAAATCCCATGGACAGAGGAGCCTGGTGGGCTGCAGTCCAAAGGATTGCAAAGAGTCGGACATGACTAACACACACACACCCACCCTGAATCAGATACATTTCCCTATCTCTCTGAAACCACTATTCAGTCCCATCATTTGTTACCTGGCCTACCGTATTGATCTTTTAAACAGTAGCTAGTGTTACTTTTAAAAATGTAAATCTAGTCATTCTCCCACTCAGAACTCCACAGAGGTTTTTCATTGCATTTAAAGTCTTGACTTTGTTTCCTCCTCGCTGCAAGGCTCTCCATGCATCTAGGACCCACCTCTCTCTGAGACCACCTCCGCATTTCTCTCCTTGGGTCGCCCCATTGCAGCCATCCTGCTGCTGGGCTGTACCCTCAACAGTGAGAGGCTCTGCATGTTCAGTCACAGGGCTTGCCTTCTGTTTATAACATTGCTTACTTTGCCATATCACTCAGTTCTTACATGTCCCTAAACTGGCCTAAAACACGGTCCTCCCTCCTCCCCCATAATTGCTCTTTATCCCCGATTTCCTTCTCTTCTGTATAGCACTCATCATTACTCAAAGTCATATCATATACTCTCTGTCTCTACTCTCCATGAAACTCCATGAAGGCAGGATTTTGCTCAGATACTTCGAACACATAATTACAAATCTAATGCCTAGATGTTGAAATACTGATTGAATGCTCTTCAATCTCTTTGGAAGAAAACTTCAGGAGAGTTATTCTATATAATTTATTGTTACTGCCCTGTAGGTTCTATCTGAATTGATGTCTGAGCTGAAAGTGTCTAATTCTACCCATGAGATTCATTAAAAACAAATCAGTCTTTTGTTGACTAGGAAATACATAGAACACCTTTGAAAGGTTCTAAAGGATGCATAGAGGAAGAGTAAGGTTATCCAGCATTCTAGTTCCCCTCCCCAGACAACCACAACTTTTATTCTGTGTTTTTCCTGAAAGACCAGAGAGACTTAGTGAGTATATGTTAGGCCTGTTCCCCTCCTCCCCAAATAAATGGGCTTCCCAGGTAGCGCCCTTGGTAAACCTGCCTGCCAGTGCAAGAGGAGGGCATGACCACCCACTTCAGCATTCTTGCCTGGAGAGTTCCATGGACAGAGGAGCCTGGCAGGCTGCATACAGAAGGGTTGCAGAGTCTGACACCGCTGAGCGACTTAGCACACACACGTGGAGTAAATCCTATACCATAGTTCCTCCGTTTGCCCCTAAATATTTCTTTGAGGTGACTAATTTTTTTTAAAGGGACTGCTTTGTGAAGTGGTTAGACCTTAATTTTACTAATTGCATATTGATAACTTCTAGATTGTTCCCTGTATTTTGCTATACAAACTGCTGTGATGTAGTCTTACACAGTGATATTTTGCAAATACATGAATTACACTGAATCTTGGCAGTTATGTGTTTAGCTTGAATTATAGAATTTCCTTTTCTTCCCTCTTTTTTCCCTGGGCTAAACGTCTTTTAGTCTATATAAAAATGACAAAACAATTAAAGCTTAAAGTTTCGTAGAGTGAAAGCTCCCTAAAATAAAAGATCCTCCTTAATTTATCTGTCATAAAGAACCAGAGTTATTTTGGGAACAGATAAAAGAGACCTGTAGTTGTGTCTTGGTTAAAAACAAATTTATTTGTTGTACATGTTACATTGACAGAATGACATTCCTTTAATTTTCTTTTCAAAATTAATCATGAAATCAATAAAATGGAGCCTAAGCAAACAGTTACTAACTTACTCAAGGAGTTGACTTATTTGATTAAAACCTAGCAAACCAACCTTCTGAGATTAGAGTTTCATCAGTTTTTCCTACAATTTATTTTTCTGTTTCTTGAGGTTTAGTTTCAAATTCTTAAAAGTTTAATCTATGTTGTACTGTGTCTTGAGTTCTGTTTTTTAATAATATTTATTTTGAAAAAATAGGGTTTTTGTCACTAAAAGTGATACATGTTTTATTATCATTTGATACATATTTTAATACATAAGGTAGTTTTTAGCAAGAAAACTAATTCAGAAAACCAACCCCTCTTTTAAACCCTAAAAATCTTTGGCTGATAATGCTTTTTTTTTTCCCATTTAAGAAAAAAAAGGCATGAAAAACTTACCATGATCTGAAGATGCACTTGTTATAAATTGTAACAAACATATTTAGGAAGCAGATAACCCCATGTAGTAAAAATTTGAGTAGAAACAGTGTGGTTTTTAGCTCTTTTGGTTGTTGTCCCAATTTAGGAATCTTCTGTGCTTCTTCCTAGTACAGTCAGCTGTATTTTTTGCATATGACTTCTGGGGATTCAGGTTCTTGACAAGCTCCCTCAGTCTCCATGGATTCCAGGTTAGAGTCCCTGAACTACTTTTGGTAGTGATTAAACTTTCAGGCTGTATGGATATTGTTTAATATACTACCTAATGTTTTGATTATGGAACGTAGGCATAATTGAAAGTGGGTTAAAAATAGGCAGTTGAATTTTTTTTAAGCTCCTCTTTGTCATGCACTTTGTTCAGCCCAGATTGATCAACTCTCACACAATAGAAATTGAGTTTTGTCAAATTATTAAGTACTTTCTGAGTATCCAGCATTCTAAATAATTGTATCAGAAATATTTTGCATTTGCTTTGTAGAGGTTCTGAGTTTTTTCCACACTTGTGATGACTTCCAGCTGTATACAGTAGAGAACATTATCCTTCTACTTCTCTGATGAGGAGACTGTAGGCCAAAGAAATTGGATGACTAAGATTCCTGGCTGGCAAGTCAGTATTTTTACTTTTCTCCCTGTGCTGTCTATAGTGACTTGTTTTACCTGTGTGTAAATGGATTTAAGAAGAAAATAACTTCCCTGCCTTGGATTCAAGTGGTATGGATTCTGAACATACATTTGAGTCTGAGTTATGGATGCATAAACATTGTAGGAATAAATAGCAGAACCAAGGTAATGAGGATGGCATTCAGCAGGGGCTTTGGACATTAGTTTTAGTCAACACACTTCTGATGTGGATGCTTAATTAATATGTTACATGATTTTACTTGCTAAAACCAAAATAGATCTGAAAGGCATAGTGTATGTAGCAGTGTTACATCAAGAAATAAGGATTCTTTTTTCCCCCCATATTAAAGTTTTCTTTTTTTGGGGGGGTTTATTTTCGTTGCAAATGTAATACAGGACATCAGTGTGGATATACAAATTAGGAGATGAAAAATAGGGATTCAGTTAACGTCAGTTAAAATCATAGCATTTTTAAAAAAATGCTTCCCAAGTGAAGTTTTTTTGTTTTGGGGTTTTTTAATGTTAAGTAGTCATCTTTGATTTGTAGATTACGTAGGATGTAGGATCACCACAGTGTAAGAGAGTGAGATCTGTGGCCCTGGCATTTCTGGTAACAGAAACTATTAAACATGTGGTTGGAAGAACTGGGGAACTGGGAATCTACAGAAAATTCTTCACTATCTAGTTTTTCAAGAGCTACCCCTCACCATTCAGGGTGTTGTATGTTTGTTAAAATTCTGGATGTAGCTATTGTAAAATACTCTGAGGATACTTAGGAATAGACATTTTTATAATTTGGAATTGGCCTGTAACTCAGATGTTTCTGAATAATTAGGATTTGGCTATGATTTGAAGTACACTTAGGTACTGATTTTGGAATCTAATTTTGATGTGTTTTGCCTTTAAAAAAAAATTTGACTATTTTGTCTTCATATTTTCAAACTCCTTTAGTAGTAGTCTTGCCTGGGAAATCCCATGGCAGAGGAGCCTGGCAGGTTACAGTCCATGGGGTCGCAGAGTCAGACCTGACTGAAGCAACTTAGCATGGGATAGCATTAGTTTTCAGTGCCCTCACAATATGCCAGTATCAGAGGTTTGGTCTGTTTTGGGCAAATCAGTTTTTGTTTTTAAGACTTTTACTATCCAGTGATTGAAGGCTCTGTAGTCTAGAAAAATACTAGAAAGAAGGGCAACAGATGTTATCTTTGTGTCTTGAGAAATGGGTGCTTTTTATTTCTTCATAGCTTTCTAAGATTTCTTTGTACTAAGGCAAATGTTATTGCTGTAAAGTCAGTGTGTTTTTAGTGACCTTTAAGGGTCATTGGGATATCCCATCCCCTTTCCCCTCTTACCCTGTTGTTCAGTTTCTCTGTCGTGTCTGACTCTTTGCATCCCCATGGATTGCAGCATGCCAGGCTTCCCTTTCCTTCACTATCTCCTCGAGTTTGCTCAGACTCGTGTCCATTGAGTCGATGATGTCATCCACCCATCTCATCCTCTCTTACCCGCTTCTGCCCTCAGTCTTTCCCAGCATCAGGGTCTTTCCCAAGTAGTTGGCTCTTTGCATTAGGTGGCCAAAGTATTGGAGCTTTAGCTTCAGTCCTGATGAATATTCAGGGTTGATTTCCTTTAGGATTAACTGGTTTGATCTCTTTCGTGTCCAAGGGACTCTAAAGAGTCTCTCCAGCACCACAGTTGGAAAGCATCAGTTCTTTTCCCTCAGCCTTCATGCTCCCAACCCTCACATCCGTACATGACTACTGGAAAAATCACAGCTTTGATTATACCGACCTTTGTTTATGTCGGCAAAGTAACACCTCTACTTTTTAATATGATGTCTAGGTTTGTCATAGCTTTTCTTCTAAGGAGCAAGCGTCTTAATTTCATGGCTGCGGTCATCATCTGCAGTGATTTTGGAGCCCAAGAAAATAAACTCTGTCACTGTTTCCATTTTTTTCCCCATCTGTTTGCCATGNTTAAGCTGTTTTTTTCATTCTTCTTTTTCACCTTCATCAAGAGACTCTTTAGTTCCGCTTTGCTTTCTGCCATTAGAGTGGTGTCATCAGCATATCTGAGGTTATTGATATTTCTTCCGGCAATCTGGATTCCAGCTTGAGCTTCGAGTGCAAAATTTAGACTTAAATTGGAGAAAGTAGGGAAAACCACTTGGCCATTCCCTTATACAGTGGAAGTGACAAATGGATTCAAGGGATTAGATCTGATAGAGTGCCTGAAGAACTGTGGACGGAGGTTCATAATGTTGTACAGGAGGCAGTGATCAAAACCATCCCCAAGAAAACAAAATGTAAAAAGGCAGAATGGTTGTCTGAGGAGGCCTTACAAATAGCTGAGAAAAGAAGAGAAGCGAATGGCGAAAAAGAAGAGGAAAGATATACCCATCTGAATGCAGAGTTCCAAAGAGCAGCAAGGATAGGTAAGAAAGCCTTCTTAAGTGAACAGTGCAAAGAAACAGAGGAAAATAATAGAATGGGAAAGACTAGAGATCTTTTCAAGAAAATTAGAGATACCCCTTACCATTGGACAGCAAAAGTGGCTGTGGTAAGCTAGAAAGAGCCCAGGGCCAAATTTCAGTCTTCTATAACATTGTGATTTGTCTGTCTTTTTATTATCCATTCATAAAACATGTTTCAGTTCAATTAAATGGACATTTATTGAATGGGTAATATGTATTCACAAAACCAGGTAAACAAGACAGGTATCCCTGTCTGGTGAAACGGAGTTGTGAAACAAGAAATTACTGTGAGGTGTGTTATGAAAGAAGGAAAACCTGGGGTGTACCATAGTCAGAGGAAAGGTATCTGTTGAGGAATATTTTTAAACTTGAAGAGAAGGAAGGAGAGAGTGGACACAGGGACTATCATATACGAAAGCTGGAAGCGGGGAGAGAGAGAGAGAATGAATGCATAATATATTCTGGAAATCCAGTATGGGTGGTGGGTAGTGCCTTATTGTAGTTTAATTAGAGGTTTTTTCGTGAGTCCTGTTTAGTACTGTAGTTTGCCTCAAGATGGAATGCCTCTTCTGGAGCGGCAGGATCCTCTCCTACTCTCCTGGGTCCCTGGGTCTGGGGACCTTTGGGGTTCCAGTGAGAAGGAACTAAAGAGCAGATAGGAAAATACATTTGAGGTGTCACTGCCTCAGACCATAACCACTCTAATGTGAGTTTTAAACAAGATTTTTTTCATTCAGTAAGCCTAAAAATAGATTATCTTACACTCGTTTACATTAAATTGAATTTTGTGTTTTCCACTCAAGGGGGAGGGTATGTACCTACTTAATTTCCTCACTGCCTCAGAGAGACTAAGGAAAAGTACTTTCCAGTAAAATTCCCCGTACACTTGCTCATAGTGTTATTCTTGCTTTGGCTTTAAAAAGTCATTTGTTTTCATAGTGGATGGCACGGTGATTCACAGCTATAAAGCTTTTGAAGTCTTTTATCTTTAGTTATAAAAGAGCTATTCCCATTAGGTAACCCCCCCCCCCCCCNCCCCCCCCGTGAAGTGCTGCGATCTGAATTCAGGTTCCTGCCGCTGACTGTGATTAGAAATCTGAACACTTGGCCAGACCTTGTCTCTTTCTTATCAGAATCTTTTCCCCGTTTAACTGGGTGGGTTGCTGGTGTATTGAGTGGTAGGAACTAGAAGATATTTTTTGTGAAGATTTGTTTATATCTGAGCAGTTAGTTTATGGTTGTGCACCAGAGCTATTTGGGTTGTCAGCCCTAGCTTGTTTTTCTGTTTTGCTTTGTCTTAAGATCTCCAGATGATTTTGTAGGGTGCACCTTGCAGAAACAGTGGCCTGTATGTGCATGGCTTCAGTGCAAAGATAGGTAGAAGGTGGTGGAATTAAAATCACATGTAAAGCTACCTTCTCATATATAGGAAACAAAGGCATCAGTGAGGACATTGAAGACCTGGCATTGTGGATGGGGAAACCCCTTAAGATTGGTATAGGGAACGAGGTTTTTAGGGGGTGACATTTGAGCTGAATTTTGAAAGATAAGTGGATAGTGGAGTTATGTTATTCCAGGGAGAATAACATAATAAAAGGGGAGAATGTTATTCCAGGTTAGACATACCAAACTCTAGGAAGCCACTTGAGTAGTGCTAAAATCGTAACATGAGTCAGCACTTACTCGCTTGGCCCACAGACACTTCATATGCAGTTTTTTAATTTGAAGTTTTTTTTTCTTTAGAAGCGTAGTTCATGGATTTATAGTCATTTACTAAAAATCCAATTAATATGGTAATATAGAATGTTACATACTAAAAATAATCAAGTAATATGGATAATTATTTCCCCTTTGCTTTATTTTGCTATTCTGATTTCCACTTTATAGATAAAAATGAATATGAAAACTTACTGAACATGAAAGGAAAACCAGATGCTTCCATTTTTTGATGTACAAATCACATATCATAAAAATCACTCTTTTAAAATGTATAATTCTGTGTTTTTAACATATTCACAAAGTTGTGTTGCTGTCAACACTATCTAATTACAGTACTTTTTCATCACCTGGAAAAAGAAACCGTCCATCTTTAGCAGT